AACAAGTTACCCAACAAGACTCCCTACCCACGTGCACTTTATTTATTATTCACATTCAAAGGCAATGATATATTTTAATTGCCACGGAGACACTTACATAATCCACAACTCTTTTGAGTAACTTCACATCGTCTTCTCGAGATCCACAGCTTTCTTCCAACTGTAAGTGCAATGCTGGAGAAAAAGATTCTCCCACTACTTTTAAGCCAGAAATCCTAAAAAAGATAACAGGGAACCCTGTGCAGCCAGGCTACTCAAGGACTCAACACCATAAACACTTCTGTCAGTTTTGCTAACAGAAAACTAGAATGAGGTCTCATTGAAAACGCATAAAGTTTTTCTGGAGGGAAAATCTTTAAAAATTATTCTGCTTTTCCCCCATGCTTTATTGGAAAATTCTCAGCTAGGTGTAGGATATGCAATAAGCAATGAACTACATAAGGGATGCTACCTACTACTGTCACACTTTAAAAAAAAAAAAAAAAAAAATCAAAAAATTCTGTCCCGTCCATGCCGTCTCCCTGCAATAGAGCTTCTTCATTTCTATTTACTAAGACACTAGATATTTTTAAATACAAGACAGAAATCTACTTCGTCTAAGACTGTTAAGAAAGTCAAGAATATTCCTGATTTGTGTCAATAATCCCATCTCTTACTGCATTTTCTTATGCTTTATAAAGTCACATAGACAATATCATCATAGCCAATCATCAGCTAGTATTATCAATCATGCATTATAGATTTTGTGTGTGTTCAGATGTTATTCATTTCTGTAATACGAAATGAATGGTGAAATACCAGCTAACTTATCTATTCTGCACATTAAACAATTGTTCAGCAGTCACTGCAATTTCTGAATTTTTTAGTATCAAAACCTGTCAGGAAAAAAAAGCAGTTACTCAGTATAGCCATCTTTTAAAACAGGATAGTTTAGGAAACTTTAAGCAGGATCCTTATTTTTCAGATAAAATCTAGCAATTTTCTATATGCCTCCAGAACAGTGACTACTTCTATTACTATTTAACATTGAAATTCCATATGTAAGAACAATACTGTATTAAAGGTGATTGCAAGGTACATTGAGTGGCCTGAAAGAGTG